TATATATATATATATATATATATATATAAATGATTTCTTAAAATAAATATTTCTGTACTACTGTCCTGATTCTATTGTAAACGTTACCAATTATGCTAACAAACCTTGACTCTATTTGAAGCGCTGTCCTGTGCATTTAAAGACTTGTTGCGCCACCTGTCGTATAGCAAATTAAGCGATAACGGCAGGTGTCAAAACATCCCGTGCTGTTTGCAAACACGATTGTTATGTTTGAAGTATGTTGTTGTTTTTCATGTGAGAAGGATCCTAAGAAGAGTGTTGTGAGCTTTCCAGAACATAGGCCTATGTGAACATGAGACACGGGGCGGGGTCTTACTTAGGCTTACTTGTTAGTGAACACTATATGCGCGCGACTGAAGAGGTATTTTTGCTGACTTCCTATGCGCGAAGATCTTCCGTGAACGCTTGAGTCTGTCATTGGAGTCAGTCTTGCGAGAAAGGTTGCTGTGTTGAATCTAACCAGACTGTCTAGGCAGATCGCGGTAAGGGCGTAAATTATACTTTATATCTAAACATCAAGCCACGTAGCCTCTTAAACTTGTTTTCGATGCTGTTCTGCATACCCATTCAACAACTGCACGTTTATTTACTTCCTTGTAAACGCGCTGCATAGAAACGCAAGTGCACATAACATCTAATCTTATGTTGAAATGAATTTGTAGACAAATCTTATTGGCACAGGAGTGTATTGAAGATTTTGTCATTAAAATGAAGGGTGTTAACGTTAAGGAGCGTCACAGAGGTTACTGAAGGTTGCGCAGTATTCAACAGTAATAATAAGTAGTTACCAGACTGAAAGTACAACGTTGCGATGTGCAATTACATGTGGTAAAATTCACAATCATACCTCGTGATGTTTAGTTTGCCGGCAAATGCATTTAAAATGTAAATAATAATAATACAGACAATAAAATAATAAAAATTATTTTAAAAAGTGGACCTAGGTCTAGTCAGCGTTTTAGACGATGTAAAAGTGCATTTTATTTGTTTATTGTTTTGTTCATATTTAGGCCTCCATTATAAATACATAACACTTTTCAAAAATCTCAAAATTAAGATGAAAATTACTTGTTCAGTTTCTAGTTATCTGATACAATGACCTTCACACATTTTAAATGTGGCTAAATGATCCTTTATGGGACTGCTGTATTCGAAGCAAAACTCCAATTTCTAATATTAGCATTGACTATTATTTGCTCTCAGCTGCCGAATATTCAGCCTATCAGTATGGCATCAGAATCCCATCATAAGGAGAATCTGCATAACCTTCAGCTGGAGGATGAAGGACAGCATCGCAACCCTTCAGAGGTGAAGATGAGCCAGATAGTGCTGCCCTGCCATGCCAACCACTGTGGAGAGCTGAGCATCGGACAGCTGCTCAAATGGATGGACTGCACAGCATGTCTGTCTGGTGAGTTTACACAATGAATGACACAAAGCACTTTTAACCTGCATTGTAAAGGCTCCAAAAATACTCTATATAAGGATATGAGTGTTAGTATAATACTGAGGACGTGACTGCAGTGACGAAGCAAAACTAGAGCAAATATAAACTAGATGTGTGACTGCATGGAGTATGCTCTAGAATGTGAGAACATTACTTGAAATATTGCAATGTGGGATAAATTATTAGCTACATTTCTTGTACAGTACTGTGAAAATGTATTTTCCCCATACTGATTTGTTCTGTTTTTATGTATATTTCATATTAATTGTTTTAGATCCTCATACAAATTGCAACATAGAACAAAGGCAACCAAAGTAAACACATACAGTTTGTAATCCCCCCCCCAGGTTAAATTCGCGTTCTGGGGTGTGTGTGCAGGGAGTGGGTTTGGGGGGATGTTGCCTTGGTTGAATTGCATTGGCCCGATAGGCCCATGTGTTTATCCGTCCTTGGTCACCACCATGCTTGACCATAGGTATGATGATCTTTTTGGAGTTTGGTTTACCCTAAATGGACCCCTGTCTTCCAAACAGTTCTACTTCCAGCTCTTTAGCCCACAAAATATTCTCCCAAAAGGTTTAAGGATCATCAAGGTGTGTCTTGGCAAAATTCAGATGAGTTTTAATGCTCTTCTGGGTGAGCAGTAGCCTGTGTCTTTCAGATGGTGGAGTCATAAACAGTGACCTTTACTGATGCAAGAAAGGCCTGGAGTTCCTTCAGTGCTGTCCTTGAGTCTTTTGTGACTTCCAAGATGAGTCTTTGTGGTGGTCTTGGAGGAATATTGGAAGGTTAGCCACTTCTGGGAAGGTTTGCTACTGTGACATTTTTTTTTCCATCTGAAGATAATGGCTCTTGCTTGAGTTCTTAGGAGTCCAAGAGCCTTGAAATAGCTTTGTAACCGGTCCCAGGGTAATGTATTTCACTCACTTTCTTCCTCATCATTTCTGGAATTTCTTTCACAGTTGGCATAGTGTGCCTTTTAGCCAACTTCATGCTGTTGAAAAAGTTCTGTTGAAAAGTGTATTAAATGAACAGGGCTGTGTTGTAGGCTGTATTCAGGTGTCGGGTGATGGTATGGCACATTATGAGACATGCAGGCTTGATCTTATTGATGATTTCCCAAATAAGTCCAAAGGCAGAGCAAAAGTAATATGGATACATAACACAAGTAACTGAACTTCCTAAACAGACAAAAAACTTGAGTCGATACAAAAAATAGAAACAACTTTCAAAATTACAATACTCAAAATTGGGTTCTTGCTAGCCAACAACAATATATTGCACAAGTGACAGGGAGCATTCTGTTTGCTTTCTCATCTCTCAAGCCACAACACTGCCTTCCTTAAATAGGGTAGATTGTGCTTCATTAAATAACATTATAATTGAAAGAAAATTGTAATTTGTGTTTACTCAGGTTGCCTTTGTTTTATTTTAGGTTTTGTTTTCATTTCTGAAACAATTTAGCCTGAGATATAGCCTACACTTAAACAGAAGAAATCAAGAAGGTGGCAGATACTGTATTCCTTGCACATCACCTGTCAGTCATAAACAGGCAAATCTTTTAAAAATGGTGTGAGATTCATTAGTGTCAAGATGTCTTATTTGATCTGCTTCCATTCCAGCTGAGAGACACGCTGGATGCCCCTGTGTGACAGCTTCTGTTGATGACATCTACTTTGAGCACACCATTGGGTAAAAGAAATATCACTTATATTTTAGATAATTAGAGCCACATCTCAGTGTCTTTTGAAAAACATCCTAACCAGAATGTAATTTCACCCTTAGGGAGTACTGGCAGTTCTGTCTGGTTAATTGTTCTATTAAACTACTATTATACAGAAGACTGTTAATTACTCCAGTCTGTCAGACTTTGAATAACACAGCACCAATCAAATGTAACTTTGATTAGAGAGGAGAGTCTCAGTAATATACGCCCAATGGAAAACAGTCTATAATATATCATAAGCTACTGTTATTATCACTTACATTTGAAATACACTTATATTTTTCAGTGTTGGACAAGTGGTCAACATTAAGGCCAAAGTTAACAGGGCCTTCAACTCAAGCATGGAGGTAATAGCCACACTTTACATTATTATATGAAATAGTCTCACTTTATTTTATTTTACCAAAGGTTACTCTACTACGACCTACAGATGTTTTTGGAGTGGTTTCTACTGTTATGTAACACTGAGGTTTTCAGACCTTTTGATGTCAAGGACCCCTAAATATGATAATTCAACATGGTTTCCAAAGTAAAACAAATGTACTTTGAATAAAGTGAATCCTTAACATATCTGCAGAATATTTACTTTATGTTAACTGGAGATCTTTTTCCTGCCTCCTATTAAAGCTGCAGTCCGTAAGTTTTGCCTCTTTGTCGCCATCTCTGTTTGAAAACCTGGAATTGCAGTTACTTGCGGAATTATCTTCCTTGCCTGGGTTGTACTCTGGCATGGCTCCAGCACGGATGAATCTAATGTTTTGAGGAGTATGTGTGGCAGTCAGTCACCGCACCGGTGTGAATCCTATACAGATTCTAGCCTACGTCTTGGAATATATGACCCAAATAAGAATTTTCACTG